TATATACAATATACGTACAGATGGTCAGACAATGTCACACACACACACGTATATACAATATACGTACAGATGGTCAGACAATGTATTTGCCAGATAACTTCTGTGACGTAAGCTGGCGTTCTTTTCTTGTGGTTAGAATGACGCCATCAATATCCGTGTCCCCAACACTTTGCGATGCAGGCTCCCGATCTGTGGTAGTTTCTACAATATACTAAAGCTATAACATACGAATGCGGAATAGTTTTTCGCACTCACATCATGGCTGAAAGTTTACTTGCTATTATTTTACAATACACTTGTAGACAATACGCTGCTGCTTTTTTCTAACCAGCTATTGAGCAAAACGTTTCCTGTTTTTAAAATTCCACGAAGACTATGAAGAACTGGGGGGAAAAAAGTCACTTGTAGGGCTATATACACACAACCCCACCCAGGCTACTATCTCACGTGAATAGCGTGTACAAGCAAAATTTGTCATCGGAGATTTTTTTCTAGCTCCGATTAAAATTTAACAGTTCTTACGCTTGTTAGTTATAATAAAACGTGTTCAAAAAGTGTGCTCGCCTAAATCTCCACGTATGAGCTAATACAACATGCAGAACATTTAACGTTTTACACCTACTGTTAATGTCTCGTGCACTATGTGTCACAGAAGCTTAATTCGAAAATTTAAGTGCAAAACGCTTAGGAGTCTGGATAGCTGATAACATACAACTCAAGGTCAGGGCGTTTGTACAAGTAAGGTTTATGGGCGGTGTTTACCATCTGTTTACGTGGCGAATAGAAAGAAATGAATCAAAACAGACTGAAAAATCAAACTATCGTTGTATTTACAGTTTAAAGATAACAAATCCAAGTTCTTTTCTATAAAATGTACTTATTAGCCAACCTTTGTAATGTATATTAATTTGTTTCTGTTTACATGGACAACAGGATGGGAAGGTAAATTGAGATATTTGTTCTTGTTTTCGTGAAGAAATATATATTTTGGCTAACTTATGTGTGAATAATAACTTGGCCAAGCAACACATCACACTGTTGCAAATAGTACCTGTCGTTCAAGCAACACATCACACTGTTGCAAATAGTACCTGTCGTCCAAACAACACATCATACTGTTAAAAATAGTGCCTGTCGTCCAAACAACACATCACGCTGTTACAAATAGTGCCTGTCGTCCAAACAACACATCACACTGTTGCAAATAGTACCTGTCGTTCAAGCAACACATCACACTGTTAAAAATAGTGCCTGTCGTTCAAGCAACACATCACACTGTTGCAAATAGTGCCTGTCGTTCAAGCAACACATCACACTGTTGCAAATAGTGCCTGTCGTCCAAACAACACATCACACTGTTGCAAATAGTGCCTGTCGTCCAAACAACACATCACGCTGTTGCAAATAGTGCCTGTCGTCCAAACAACACATCACGCTGTTACAAATAGTGCCTGTCGTTCAAACAACACATCACGCTGTTACAAATAGTGCCTGTCGTCCAAACAACACATTACACTGTTGCAAATAGTAACTATCGTCCAAACAACATATCACATTGTTGCAAATAGTACCTGTCGTCCAAACAACACATTACACTGTTGCAAATAGTACCTGTCGTCCAAACAACACATTACACTGTTGCAAATAGTACCTGTCGTCCAAACAACACA